CAAGTATGGGTCACCATACTTGGCCACATGTCACGTCACTATAGCAATGTATAGTTTGCAAATGTATGTCCGGAGGGTGTTTGAAAATAACATCATCCACATTAAATCCAGCCTTAAATGCAACCAATAGCGTTAACACAAGTGAAATGAAATACATTTGCTGAGGTAACCATGACATTTTATATTGCTTCTACAAGCCTTTGAGCTCTTTTATCATGACTCGTATTTCAGGAGACTTTAGCGCTTTGCATCACAAGGCAGTGCTGTACCGGGTGAGCTATCGAGCAAGTTTACTATGTCAGAAAAAACATATTATGGACCTGACTATGTGATTATTATGTGAAAACATCAAAATGTATTACGTATTAGCTCATAACATAGTATTGCGCAAGGTACCATGTGAAAATAGGCTTTTCACAATCAATAATCTGTCCTTGTAATCATAATTAGTTTGAAAAGGAATATAAGTTGTTGGTGCTTTACTGCCACTAGTGTTCACTGCAACTAGACACTGCAGTGAGTTGTATATAAAAGTATGTTTTTGGAGTTTTGCAAAAATGTAGGAAAAGGCATGTTTTTCCAATCATGTTCCCATAGTAGATCATCATTGTGTTCTGTTCATACAGAAAACTTGCATGCTATGCACAGTATACGTACTATATACTGCAGAAACAGCAAGTGTAGTATGTTAGTGTGCTATTCCGAACATAGTCGCTTCTCTATTTCACGCTTGTATGCCAGTGTATTTCAGCGCTAGCCAACTCTACTGGCACGCTACCTTGTAAAACAGGTTAGCTCAGTGGCATCAAAACAAAAGTTGGCGAACACTGAATCAAACAAGTACTCAAGCAATTTATCTCCATCTGATCCCCCCATTCATTCATTCATTCATTCATCTGTTTTTCGCTCTCTAGACGTTACTAATGCGGACGCTAAGCTGGTCTCGGACACGCCCCCTGTCCCGCCCCCTTTCCTCCCGGTAACTCTCCTCCAGTTGCATTTTCTCCATATTTTCTCCACTGCCTTGATGTTGCGGTGACCGGGTGTTTGGAGGTGGGGCTTGTTTGAAAAGGGGTGGGGTCTTGGTCTTGGCAACCTTGTCAAAGAAGGCAAAATCAGCTACATACTTTCCGGAGGGGGAGAGGGAGACGACAGGTGGAAACTCGTAGCCCCACAGGATCTCATCGGGCAGGTAGGAGGTGCGAACTTGGCAGGTGGCCGAGGTCGGCTCCACAGTGGCACTCATGATCACAAGCAGCTCAAAGTCAGCCAGCTCCGGATCCGTCCACCCACCACCTTAGAAAGAAAGATTCACAGTGAAACAGACAGCAGAAATTCAGTAAAGCATAGTGTAATTCCCATGTTGTCCCAAACCTGTACGGCTTTCTTTCAGTGTGGCAAATGAAATAGTACAGCTCTCAAATCTCATTTATGCTCGAACATAAGCAAACCTAGTCACATCCAACAGATTTAGAGTGGGATTTTTTTTGGAGCTTGTCTATTTTCATTTACATTATCTTATTGAATATAACTTAAATATTCTTCAAAGAATATTTATAATGTCATATATACTTTATACAGTATATTAAGTATACTTAATGTGAAATCTGTTCATTAAGCCTTCTCCTTACTCCATCTAGATGTGTATTAATTAATAATACACATAATTATTAATCAATTAATTCTTTTTCATTCTTAATTAAATTAAGAATTCTTAATTCAACTTATTTATTTTTTCTTTATGTATACTATGCAGGGTTATTTTAGTTAACGAAACTAAAACCATGAAAAACATTTCTGTTCCTTGAAATAAAATAAACATTAACTGAAATAATATAAAATAAAACTAAACTAGAACTTTTTTTCAGCTTGTTGTCAAAGCGACATATCTCATTTTCAATTAATATTGATGTACTAAAATAACTCAAATTAAAACTGAAATAAAAATGTATTTAAAAAAACTATATGGACATTACGTAAGGAAAATTATGGCTCACCAGCAGAAATACAAATGCCTTCACTCGTAAACATGCCATTCACCCACTGACACACACACACTCACAGTCGCACACACACCTGCATCAACATCCCACATTCAGAGCGAGAGACTGTCATCTGTGAAAACAGTCTCTCCTTTAACCCAGAGCCTGTTCTGCATTCTGGGAGCAAAAAACATGGGGTGTCAAAACCCACAAACACACAAGATCATGCTCACAAAAAAAAAGTGTTTTACAGTGGCCCCAAAAAAAGTATCTGGACACTTGAGCCACATTTAGAAATGTCACTGCAATGCATTATAACATTTTAAGTTTAGTATAATTTATTTTACAGAAAGACAGCACAAGAACTCATTTTAGAGAAATGTGTTTGTATTGTTTTATTGTTAATGCTAAACCAGCAGATGACAAATGGTGTGATATTTTCTAATGCAATGACATTCGGACAGTAAGAATGGCATTAAGCATTCAAAACTGTTTTGGGCCAGTGTATATACATCATAAATTAATGCAAATACACTGACGTGTATTAATTATCAGCATATGAAGATATTCTTTGGTGTCGTTCACACACTGATCATGGCAGAACTCAGTGGAAAGATCCTCAGGGGATGTCAGTGTTTACTAGCGGGCAGATCTGATGTGGCCTCTCACTGTGTCTTTAAAGAGTTTGAGGAAAAGAGATACTTATATATGGGTCAATCGTACTACATACATTTTCATGTCCCCATCAAATATAAGTTAATATACTGAATAAAGGAATTCAATCTTATTAGTTACCTTTCTTTTATCAGTTTGTATGTATGAATATGTAAACATAGGGCTAAATTTGATATGGACGTGAAATTTTTATAATGTCTCTGGGTGCTGCAATAATTTCTAACATAGAAAAAACTCTTAAGATATATTTCAATCTATCAACAATATAATATTGGTATGTATACAAGTAGTGGGTACAAAACATCTTTTGTGTTCCACAGAAAAAAAGAAAGTCATACACGTTTAGATTGACATGAGGGTGAGTAAAGGATGACAGAAATGTCATTTTGTTTGAAGGTTTCTTTAACACAATGTTGAAAAAAAACTGACCATGTGATAATCTGTTTTTCTGCAATACATATATTGTTGGGTTTTCACACTTTGGTTTACTCAAGAACCAAAGCTCTTTCAGTAACCATGAAGTGAACTTAGTTCAAAATGAATAAATAAATAATTAAAAATAAATCTTTTTCCATTTGAGTTTTCATAGGCCACATGTTTTGACCCATTTAATTGGACTATATATTTTTTAAATATAATTTTGTGATTATTAAAAATATTCAAACAAAAATAAATGAATTTTATTGTATAGCACAAAGATAAAATTCAGTACTAATATTTGCATATTAAATTCTTCATTTTCAAAAGTTAAAACATCAAGCTTAAATTTTGATGGTTTGCCTGCAAATAAATATATGCGTTGCCGGTTTAAGAGTGAAGTGGCACGGTGTTCATTTACACGTGTGCATATTATAATACAGCGTTTCAGCATCTCAAAGCAGCTCGATTCTCAGTTAATGAACCAAGGCTAACTAAGATGCTAAAACTCTGTATCTTTTAAATTAAATCGCAGCTTTCATGATTTGATGATTGCATTCAGCCCTATCACAATATATGTTTTCTATATATCATGCAGCCCTAGTTTGATACCATAAGTAAAACACAGTCTCTGAGTCAAACACACACACACACACACACACACACATATTCATGAGTGAACATCTTGTTCTGTGGTTCATATAGCTTTATGCTGAGTTGTCACAGGGCTCCCGCAGAGGCCCATGTCTCTTCTCCTCAGCCTCTTACACAAACACAATGCCACATTCAGTGGACTGGCACACTGTGTATTTAGTTGTTGTTGTTTTTCTATAGATTCACACACACTGGTCCACTGTGGGCGCACATCCATACACATGCATTTACACACAGCCACTCAGGCACATACAGATTTACACTGTAATGCAGCGGCACGCTTTCGGACACGTTTTTAAAACCGGTGCCAGTTTCTTCATTCATATGCAAATGTACTTCCATTGGCGCATTCTGAATAGCTATTTCTACTTCATATTCAGGTTTTTAAAGAAACATTTTACGTCAATATACAAAAAATATTAAAACAAAAATAAAGGAATTTTATTGTATAGCACAAAGATAAAATTCAGTACTAATATTTGCATATTAAATTCTTCATTTTCAAAAGTTAAAACATCAAGCTTAAATTTTGATGGTTTGCCTGCAAATAAATATATGCGTTGCCGGTTTAAGAGTGAAGTGGCACGGTGTTCATTTATTTTTCCCAGCATGATTCAGATTTTGACATTCAAACCTGTGAAAACCTAAATTGAAGGGAGATCGGTTTACATTTAGTCTCATTATCATTGAATTTGGAGGTACCCAGGGCTTGAAGTGGGCCGGTACACACTGGTATGCAGTACCGGCACTTCAATATTTTAGTCTTTAGCGTACCAGCACTTTTTCATGCGTACTGGTACTGAGTCAAATCGTCAGTGTCTGGGTGATTAGAAATGACACTATAAAGCACCCTACCCAGGAGGTCATTTGAAACGGTAAACTTCTGGAAAGTTCAAGATTCCAGTAAGGGAATGCATTAGTAATAAGTAATAAGTTCAAAACAGCGCTAATGCAAAGAAAACACAGATGATTTCATCAGAGATGGCAGAGAGAATAGTGACTCGCGTCCAGATGGCAGTAGATTATTCTTTTCAGCGTGTATTTGGCTTAAAAGCACGAGTGTTTTATAATGAATGCTGGCTGAAGGTGTTTTAGATTATGCACTGGACAGTGGTTTAGTTATTCTGAATGGATCTGTATAGTAGCATGTACAGTCAGGTTAAGGCAGCAGGTTTAGTGGTCTTTTGGTGCCTCCCTGCGGTCCTGTTTGGTATCGCAGCTTAACTGGTCCTTATTTATAATAAAAATGCTCTAGATAATTTTCTTTCTTTCTTTCTGCATTATATACATACAGTACATTGGGAATTATGAAAAGTAATTAATTAATTTAAAAAATATGTGGGGGGGGGGGTTCCTCACTTATTTTTTTCCACTTCAAGCACTGGAGGTACCTCAATAAACAATTACAGCAGCATCGAAAAACAAGCTGCATTGGCTGATGGTTGGTTGATTACTTCTGATGCTAAATGTTATTATTATTGCTCAAGGACTGAAGTAAGGACTGGTGGGATGACAACTGTCCTCCACAAATTCACAGATGATGAGTGGAAGACACATTTCCACTTCCGAAACTTAGAGCTCAAAGAAAATCCTAAGTTCCCAAGTTTTTCTCACTCATAATTACAACATTGTGGTGGTGTTCATTTTCGTTTAACCTATAAATATACAAATGCATCATTACATTTTGTTGTGGACCAGCAAGCAACAACCCAGAACACTTTAGCAACCACTAGCAATTCTCTAAAAAACACCCAGAGCACTCTTGCAAATGCCCTAGCAACCTACCAAAACACCCTAGAATCATGGTAGCAAGCTTTGGGCAGGCAAACAGTAAATGTACAAATCTAGTTCACATCTATCCTCATGATTAATTAAACAGAGGCAAAATGGAAACATAAATTGAGCCACTTTGGCCTGCCACTTGATTCAGGTGTGAAGTGTCAGTGGAAACAGGGCACCAGCGTGTACTAAAAGTTCCAAAACTTCCTGAACCTTCTGCCTGCAGCATGACCTCTGCGCTGAAACAGAGCTTCTCCGGTGTCTTTGACACTTCTCCCCACACTGCTGTTTCACGTTTCTCTTGTGTAGCACTCTATCCTCAAAACAACTCTGCTGGAGCCACGGGGGTCGGTGCCCAACCACGCTGTCCCTGTTCTCGGGTGTATCCTACTGACAGTCTTCATCTGCCACCATAGACAGTGCCATCTCTGCAGTCCCCCACAATCACAAAGAAGCTAAGATTAGATGTAGGTTTTTCAATGTGCGCAGAACCAAAAAACATGCATTTGACAGACTTTTTTATTGAAAATAACTTTCATTGCATTTATGGTACACATGGTCATGGGTTCAATTCTCAGGGAATGCGTGAACATCAGTTCAACTGATGTTGAACATTCAACATCAGTGAACATCAGCTTAAGTTCATGCACTCCTTGGGAATCGAACCCACGTGAATTTGGCAGACACTTTTATCGATAGCAACTTACATTGCATTCATGGTATACATGGTCATGGGTTCGATTCCCAAGGAATGCATGACCAATAGCTTTGCTAGAGCTATGCTCTAATGTTTGAGCTATAGGAATCTCAAAATTCCTGTGATGTGATCTGAGGTTTGAATCGTACATATATGAGGAAATGGAGTAGTGGCATCTAGTAATTCAAGCTCAAGGCTGGTAACCAGATGGTTGCTGGTTAATTCACAAGAAGGAATGGTCCATGAGCCAACAGAGCAAAACTTAAGGTTGAACAAGCTGAAACTATGCCTGTTCTGTTTTACATCCACCCATTTGGCAGATGCTTGACCCAAGACCTTGGCAGAGCCAGCACCGTGCACTTCCATTTGCACTACAGTGATACCAGTTCAACTTACAGTAGAAAGTAATGAATACTTTTTTCTAATGGGACGGTTCTATGCTTAGGATTTCAAGCACCATTTTGGAATTTCAACATCTCAACGTCATATTTTATTGTTCTAGTTACTCTCCTAGTTCTCCTAGGCTTGCGTACCTTTGGCAGCCCAGGCCCTCAGTGGGCTGTTGTCATCAATCACATGGTAGAAAGTGAGGGGCAAGATGAGGAAGGGGCTGTCACTGGATGTGTCCACTTGGAAGGCTACATTCCTCTGTTCCAGACGCACTGTCTCACCCTCTTTAGTCTGTGAAGTCTGCAACAGCTTACCTGTTACCTGAAGAATCCCAGGAATTGGACATATAGTATGATAAGTTGTACATATGTTGGCCCATCTTTAGATAGCACCCGTCGACGGCGTCTCAATGCCGCAGGTCCGTTTTCTGTCGAAGCCCCACCTCCTCCACCTAGGAGTGGCTTTAGAACATCTGTCTGTGTCTGGGAGTGGCAGACCTTCTGTGGGGAGGAGCTACGGGAAGAAGGGGGCGTGGCTGAGGTCATAGCTAGAAGGGAAGAGAGAGATGGTTTAATATCATTAGTCTAATTTCTTCTAACTTCACGCAGACCTGAGCTCAAGGGTTGCAAGAAGATTGGCTACCCCTGGTTTAAAATGTGCATGTTCACTATTCATGGTAAATTAAAAAAAAAATAATAATAAAAAGTTGTTATTTTTAGCACAGATCATTTATGTCTTGTGTATAAAACTCTGCAAATTATCTCCGCTAATTTATGCTATTTCTGCGGTTAGATCTGAACTTCAACCAGAGATTTAGAACTAAGAGCTTCATAAATCATTCATGCATTAAAACTCATCATGATGTAGTGGTTTGTGTTCAACATGCAAACAAAACCAGTTTCTAAAATGCACAAGTGGCAAGGCTTTCTTCGTTCAAAACTCTAATTAAAGACTGCTAAAGCTTTAAGCACACAAGGCTGATTCTTTCATGGAAAAGAGACAGTCTGTAATTAGGTTAATGTTCAATTATGACCAAACACTGAGATGATCAGACAATGATCAACAGCTAATACAGCCCCACATAAAAGTGACTTTCTCACAATTAGAGTTCAATGCCATGAATTTTACATTTTACAGTATCTTGGTGAAGCATAAAATAAATCACTGTTTCTTTTGTAAGTGATTCACCATGTAAAGCAGTTTACAGAAACTTCCTAGCACAATACCATTACAAATTGTAAATTACAATTAAAGTCTAAGGCAGGTAGAATTTTTTTAAATGTAGTACTGTAATAACAACAAACTTTGGGGGTAAAATGTTACCCGGACTTATCTTTGTTTGAGTGTTAAGTTTTTGCTCTGACACTGAACTATGATGTTGTTATCTGTCAGTTTAAGTTTTCACATTGCCATTTATATTTTTCTCACAATTCCACTTATTTCCCTCGTTTTTTTTTTCTGGCCAGCAGTGGATGTTATCAGATGGGACTCATACATGGCACAGTTTAGGTTACAGAAACTACTAGTATCTTGTTACTCTGACATAAAAAGAAGTTCTTCTTAATGAAATAACCAATCCAGCAGTTAGGCTTCTGTGTGAGAAACCTGTCACCTTATCGCCGTCTGTAAAATCTAGGTCGTCTCGTAGCATTTTAGAAGAAATAGCACATGGGAATGGAGAGGGCTCTATCTCTATCTAAGCTCTATCTGAAAGACGTGCATCGTCCAAGTAAAGAGAGCCACATTAGGGACACATTAGGGTTCTCAGCAGTATCTAAAAACGACTTTTCTAAAAGCTGAAATGGGCAAAGTAGCTTCCACTGCGATCTTTATCGCAGACACGTGAGCGCATCCTTCTCTCCTGAGGTTTGTGTGTGCCAAGAAGGGGTACAGTGCCGGGTTTGGGGGCGACCCTGGTGGTCCGTAACTGTTTTTGACTCTACATTCAGGCCCTCCAGCTGCCCAAGCACATTAAATGCCCCTCATTCACACAGTGGAAGCAGCTGCCCTTTCTCATTTAAAGGCTAGTCGTCAACACTGACCAACTCACATGCCGTGCTCGGTTGGCCCGGGTGAGCAGTGAAAAGGGTGACTTATTCACCATCCAAAAAACACAAAACCGCAGGAAGGAATCAGAGATAAAAGAACACCACAATGTTTTCCATATTCCCTGCATTCCTCTCTTACATTGAGAATGACGTTTCTTAAACCTTCACCTTTATAAACTTTGTTTCATAGATGCTGCTTGGGCAGTTTTTCAATCCCTGGCTCAGTCACTTCTCCTGTGCTTTTGCTCAAACTTTTTGTGTATGCAAATCACACATTATCTAGAAAAAGTACAGAGATCATGCTCCAAGAACGGACGATTGTTAATCCCAAATGGTCCTGGAATAAAAGACAAGACGAACCATCATAGATGAACCATTTTAAGCTTCACAGACATTCACAAAAGAAACACTTTCTATTTTTCTAACTTTTTTTAAATACATCTACAGTGGCCCCAAAAGTATTTGGACACTTAAAGTCCCCATGAAATCAAAATAAAATCTGAAATGAAATCTAAAGTTTTTTGGGTGTTAGTATCAATATGTTAGTCTTAAGGATATCTATAAGCCAGTGTGCTCCAAAACAGTGACAAAATTCGCATTTAGAAGATATAAGCATTCAAAGCTTGCAGTTCGTCACTTCCGCCAAACGGCTCAACGATTTTTTTGACGTCACATCGTACTTCAGCTTCTCATCAAACTGAAGCGCCCGCCCCCTACACTATAAAATAGTCACTTGTCCACAGAATTAGTATTTTCTGTACAGTGAATGGCACGTAGTGCACTATATAGGGGACAGGGAACGATTCAAACAGTGTAAATATGCTTTCCATTGAGGAAAAACATAATTCTGTTTGAATTCTACACAGAATGCTATATTTTATAGCAATATGGATGAGATTGTGGCTGGCATACCCTGTCAAATGTGGCTTTGAATGGGCTCTGATCGGCTCTAGCCCAAGCTGTGATATAAATTAACGCTATTGGCTATTTTAACAAAGGGGCGGGGCTGCTTGATATGTCCCGCCCTGTCTTCCTGTTTCATTTAAAATGACGTCAACACAGTGTTTCTAAGCATTTCAGGGGACCTTTAAATAATTCTTTAAAATGTCTGAATGTCATTACATCAGATAACAAAATAGCAATTGTCAATTATTTTCAAGAAAGACTACATAAACACAATTTTTAAGCAAAACATCTGGACATTTTCTTTCTTCAGTGGAACACAAAAGATATTTTGAAGAACATTGGGAACCAAACAATTTTGGACCCCATTGACTTCCATTGTTTGGGCAAGCAAATATATAAATAAATAAAAATCTTCTCAAAATATCTTCTTTTATGTTGCACAAAAGAAAGTCAGTCATACAGTTTTGGAACGACATAGTTGTGGAAGTTGCAGGAAATAATGAGTTTTCATTTTGGGGCGAACTGTCCTCTCCATTTACAAGGTTCCATTGACAAAACAATAGATAGAAATAGAAAATTAAGAGTATTATGTAACTTTGTTTGTGGTTAGTGAATCATACTGCTAGTTAATGTGATTCTCTACTGTACTGTGACTCCTCTGTGTGAACTTGAGGACAACTGACTTCATGCATCCACTAAAAATCACCAAAGCTGCAGCTGATTCAAAGAAATTGAGACAAAAATAAAGAAAATTGTTTCTCCTAAGAAAAAAAGATGCCAGTTATCTCACGTCTCATAAGACATCTCAACAGTGACTCAAACTGTGCTCAGATTCGCCAAAAAGTCAAGTCTGTAATTAAACAAAATCTCAAACATGAGCTCAAACACTTCTTTTTTTTTTCTCGCAATATGTAACTATATTCTCACCCAGCTCTTTGTACCCGTGTACATATATACTAGTTTATATAGCAAATCTTAACTGCTTGACTGCTTTAATCATTGATCAAATGATTGCTTGATTGCTTGAAAGCTCTAATCTGCTAAATGTGACTATAAACACAAGATATTAAAGGGGTCATTTGATGAGATTTAAATTTTTCCTTTCTCTTTGGAGTGTTACAAGCTCTTGGTGCATAAAGAAGATCTGTAAAGTTGCAAAGACTGAAGTCTCAAATCCAAAGAGATATTCTTTATAAAAGTTCAGAGTTAGTCACACCTACCTAAAACGCCTCCTTCTAACACGCCCCCACATGTCTACATCACTATGTGGGAAGATTTGCATAACGCCGCCCAAATAACTTTTAGTCTCACTGTAGTTTTGTTGACGCTGCAGCCATGTCGTGAAGACGCTGTGTGCTTCGTTGTGAAAGCGAAACTACTTTGTTTGACCTTCCAAAAGAGGACGATATCCGCTTCGTCATGCCTAGAGCTGATCTGTGCTGGTCGCTGAGGGAATACATCAACTTTCACCGTGGACAAAGCGGAGTCCAGCCCGGGGTCGTCACATGTGGTTGCTGCTCATTCGTCGGATCCGCCGGGCGCACCGTTCTCGACCCCGCCGTCTCAGCTCACTCTATCCCGGCCTCAGCTCACGCTAATCCGGGGCATCCCTTCACGCTAGGCCACTGTGTTTTTCGTTGTGAAAACGAAACTACTTTGTTTGGTCTTCCAAAAAGGACACGACTACAAATCAGTTGTATTTACAACACTGTTCCAGAACAGTTTAACCCAAATATCCAGATGTGTGCAGCGCATTTTATGGAGGACTGTTTACTGATCCTGGGAGAGTAACGTTAGACTAAAATGCCGGCAGTTCTGACTCACGTAAGTACATTTTCATTTAAAGGATTTGCCACTGATGATTCAAACGTGAGTTTTGGGCAGTGTAGAGTAGCACTTGTTGTTTGTCATTTCTCTGATCACAAATGCAGACATGGTTTTATGTTTACGCGTCACAATGCGATTCAATGCAACGCGTAAAAAGACAGTATAAGTCATTATAATCAGTAATTATGTCCCCACTGGATACAACAAATGCCTCGTTTGTAATGGGTTTTAATGTTTTTGTCTCGTCGCTCCGGCCGGGACACGGCATCAACAGTATGGCAAGGGGCGTAACATTTCCGTCTAACGCTTGAGGTATTCGGCCAATCACAACGCACTGGATAGCTGGCCAATCACAGCACACCTCGCTTTTCAGACCGATGAGCTTTGTAAAAATCGACTTGTTAAAAAAAGGCGGGGCATAGAGGAGAAACAGTAATGTACAGTATGTGGATAAAAATTTGTTTTTTTTTACTTTAAACCGCATAAACACATTTCATTACACCAAATACACAAAATAATGTTCTTTTTAGCAGCATCATATGACCCCTTTAAGGTATT